TTTTCCAAATCTCTTTTACCTCAAAGCTCTTCCCTAAAACAGCAATCACCAAATTTTCTCCTTATACACAGAAGCATTGAAACAGTTCTGTGATTCAGAGGAGCACATTCTAAAGCAGTTTTGGAAAATCCTGAAACAATAAAACACTTCTGCAAGGAAAGCAATATTTCAATAGAAACTTATTTTCAAGAAAAAAAATAAAAAATATTTTCCTAAGAAAGGAGAAGAACAATTTCAAAACACAGTATTTGAATTAAAAAAAAAAAAAGAGCACTGGAACTTCAAGCTTCTGTTCTTCCAGGTCACTCTGTTTCAAAGCTAACCCTGATCAATAGATAAAAAATTGATTAAAACTAGAAAGTTGTCAAGTGCCTTATTTCACTTCCCACTCCAGCTTACGTAACTCAAGACAGCATGAGTCAATTTGCTGAGAGATGCTGCAACTGTGGTCTAGATGTGTTTTATTTAGCTTGGAAAAGTAGTATAAGGAAGTGTGGCTGAATAAAGCCTTCAGTATTTTGCAAAAAAGCAAAATATTGAAAACTTTAGAATTGGAACAATGAAATAGTATGAAGTATTTTTATGTTAAGAAAAACCATGAATTTTTTTCTAACCAGAAAAAAAGTTATTAGCTAGAAACATGCCAACTTGTTACAATCATGAAGGCCATATTGTTCAGGACAAAAACATCCACAGAGATAAAGTAACAGGGAAGGTGTGTGAGGTGCTTGTTTTAACAGAGATCTGATAATCTCTCACACTGCATTCCTGACCACCTTCAGGCCCTTGGCTAAATCCCTACAAGTTCTGCATTTTAGTGGCATCACTAATCAGATGCTTCCTAGACAAAGCTGGGGACCCCCTACCACGAGCATCAGGATGCCTGATCCCCCCTGTCAGAGGAAACCTCCACCCCAGAACAGTGCCAGCAGCACTTGTGGATTCCCAGGACCAACTGCCATGTGCAGACTATGAAAGGGGAATGTTCACACAACTGCACATCTGAGGCTTCTGAGGAGACAAACCTCACAGCCTTCCCTCACCTTATAATTACAGCATGTAGGCTTCCCAGTGTTCACATAAATATGATACAACCTGACTAAAGCACAAATACTGTTTTTAATAACTAGGGAAACATCTGAAAGTGCTATGCCTCATATTTCCAAAAGTTTCCCCTTAAAAATCTGGAGCTTAAGGGGTCAACACATGCCATTTTGTGCTAAAATTTTTATTATTTTTTTTAACAGATAATTCATTTTTTTACCACTGAAATGAAAACTTATCTTCTCCTATTCTTACACCCGTAGGCAGGAGCAAAGCTGGAATGAATCACTCCAGTTTCACTCTGCAGTTCAGCAAAGCCCAGAGCTGCAGCTATCACAGGAACTGGAGGAGTTGCTGTACAAGTGAAGATGGGAATTTAAAGTAACACATCTCTTACTCAAAGAGTTTAATTTATAAGGGATAAAAGAAAATTTCTGCTGGTTAGAAGACCTTAAATATATATTTACCAGATAGAAGCTGCCAGGAGATACAATCCCCTTGACATTCCAAATGCAGCTTTTTAACTGGAGCAATAGAATTCTTCTTGTAAATCAGTGTGATTTGGGAAAATCAAAGTAAATTTCATTTTAACGTATTGTTTCAGATGAACTTGTTGGCATTCTCCCTCCTCTCTTGTCTTTTCCCAGTCATTGCCTGGAAAGATCAGAAGCCTTGAGCTCCTACATTAGTTATTGATTAAATCTATCAGAAATAGAGCTTAGATAAGAATATAATTTCATGGTATATCCTTGCTACAATGTACAACTTCCAGCTCTTTAACATCCTCCCTTAAGCTACATTCCAATAGACAATCATTTTTCTCACAAGTTCTTTTCTCTCTGGAAACTTTTCAACTTATTCCAACTACAAAAATAAGTAATAAATTAATTTAACTTAAAAAACAGACAATCAGGGCATCGTTTGGCCACGATTTCCATTTATGATGACATTCAGATGGCAATCCAAGGCCTACCTTTTGTAAAGATGCATATTCATGTGACTCTCAAGTGCAGCTAATGATTTGGGAAAGTGGGAATGCTCTGAGTGTATTAACAGAAAAAACCTGCAAGGATTTCTACGGTTACAGAATTTAACCTGCTTATTTCATCTTCACATTTCCCTCTTCTGCAGCAGCAGTTTGACATGATTTCAGTAATAGGCTAATAAGACAAAAGAAAATCCAGTGTCATTTTATTATGACAGCATTTATTTAGACTCTGTGAAGCAGAAGTCTGAAGTTGCACTTTGCATTCAGACTGATATAAATCAAGGAACAATAATTATTTATAACATATGATAGCAGACCCAAAATTCACCTCCCTTAATCTCACACTATTTCTAGCACAATATTCCTAAGAGTTGCCCAACAGTTCATGCTCTCCCTGAAATCTGTAAGAACTATGGAAAATAGCAACATCCTGGTAGCAGTGGAGCCATTTAAGGTAGTAAAGTTCTAAAAGATTTCCTAGCAATGGTATGAGACTTTAAAACTGTACTACAATGAATAATCACCAGGGGCTGTCCAAGATACAGGCGAGCCTGATTCAGGTTTTTAAGAGGTTATTTGGTTTCATGACAGGCTCCCACTCAAGTTGCCTTATGTAGCATGTGCTTCTGGTAAAATGAAATTAGAGGCTTTTTTCCCCTCCTCTTGACAGCCCGACTTTGTAGAGAGGGAAGAATATGAAAGAGGTACATGCAGTATTCAGCCCAGACAATGGCACGAATTATGCCACTGGGGTTTGTTGCCTGGATAAAGTGCTAAGTGGAACACAGCTCTGACACAAACACAGCTGAACAGCACAGCATGGAACCCCTGCCATTGAGATACAAATAAGCACAGAAGTAAAACATTGCCCTCTTCTCCTCCCTAAAAAAAAGGGGGGGTTAAAAGCTATTCTTCACAAACATGCTGCAGAGCAAACTTTTATCATGTGGAACATCAGACTCCTTCTTCCTCAGAGAACAGACTTTTGATCTGCCACATAATCCATGACAGAAACTGCCTAGATTATTTTAGCATTGTTTGATTACACTTTGGAGCCTACTTAAGTACCTTAAAGCAGATTACAGGCTGATAAAACCACTGGATATTTTTATGTATGACCATCTTTTTTTTTTTTTAAATAATTGTATTTAGTTAGTGCAAAGTTACTTTTGAAAGGAAGACTGAGGCTGAAGGCAGACTCCAGAAATGTTGTTCTTGAAGGAAACACCCATCATCAGTATTACTGCCTGCTACTACTACATATTACTACTGTTATATATAAAGGAAGAAATGCCCTGATGAGAGGAAAAAAAAGTGTCCACACCATTCCTCTAATGGACACGTTAATTCAACTGTAAAATGAAAGCCAAGCTTTTCTTTTTTTTCCTTAAAAAGGGAAAGAATGAAAAATCTTGTGCTACTGCATTTGAACAAATTTTCCCCCATGTTTGGCAGGCAGAACAGAAGCATATTAACTACAACTTGGGAGAAGCAGATGATAAATGCTTAATAAACAAATGGCATTTCAGAAAATGCAAAAGCAAGAAAAAATGTATTAAGATCATTTTTCTGCTAGTTGTTGATGCACCAACAGCTGCCAGCTCTTAAGAATGTAGCAATCATGTCAGAGATAACAGGGGCTGCCTCTGACAGAAATCTTTGATGCTACCCAAGTTCAGCAAGTTGTTTTCTTTTTCTGGGGGGCTGTATTCCCCCCTGCCAAGGCCGTTTTATCCTCCTAATTTTCTTCTTCAATCTCAAACGCTCTCATCACCTTAGCAACAACATGGAAAGTTTCAATGCATAAAAATTAAGAAGAAAAACTACCTCTTTC